TTGTCCGATGTAACTTGTCAAAGGTTATAGAGCAAAAAGATATTCCTTTTGAAAATGCAATATGTAACATAATAAAGGTCGTATATTAAAAACCCATAGCTAACATCACACTGAACATGTTTTTTGAAGATGAAGCCAAAGATGCCTGCTTTCACAACTTTTAGTCAACATAGTATTTAAAGTCCAAGCCAGAGAAATTAGGCAAGGAAAAGAAATAAAAGGCATCTAAATTGGAGAGGAAGAAATACAATTGTCATTATTTGCAAAACCCTAACGACCCCCCAAAAAACTGTTTTAACTAATAAATTCAGCAAAGGGACAGGTTATGAATCAATATACAAAAATCTGTTACGTTTCTGTAAATTAATAATGAACTATCAGAATGGGAAATTAAAAAACAATCCCATTTACAATTTCATCAAAAAGAATAAAATACCTGAGAATAAATTTAATCTAGAAGATGAAAGACCTGTACACTGAAACCTATAACACACCGATGAAAGAAAGTGAAGAAGACACAAATAAATAGGTATTCCATGCTCATGCATTGGAGTAATTAATATTGTTAAAATGTCCATACTATCCAAAGTGGTCTACAGATTCAATGCAATCCCTACCAAAATTCCAATGGCATTTTTCACAGAAATAGAACAATCCTAAGATTTGTATGGACTCACAAAAGACCTTGAATAGCCAAAACAATCTTGAGAAAGGAGAACAGAACTAGAGGCATCATTCTCCTTGTTTTCAAACTATATTACAAAGCCATAGTAATAAAAACAAAAACATAGTATCAAAACATTATGGTATTGACATAAAAACAGACAGATCAACTGAATAGAATAGAAAACCCAGGGAAAAAAACCCCACATATATGGCCAATTTATTTACAACCAAGGAGCCAAGATTATACAATGGGGGAAAAGACAGCCTCTTTAGTAAATGGTGTTGGGAAAATTGGACAGCCAAGTACAAAAGAATGAAACTGGACCATGATCTTCTACCATTCACAAAAATCAGCTCAAAATGGATCAAGGCTTGAATGTAAGACCTGAAACCATAAAACTCCTAGAAGTAAACAGTAAGCAGTAAGCTTCTTGATGTCATTCTTGGCAAAGATTTTTTTGGATTTGACATGGAAATCATAAAAAAGTAGAAATACATCAAACTGAAAAACTTCTGCACAGAAAATGAAATCAACAAAATTAAAAGGCAATGTACCTAATGGGACAAAATTTTTGCAACTTATATAATGATAAAAATTAATATCCAGGGGTCGTGCCTGGGTAGCTCAGTCAGCTAGGCATCCAGCTCTTGATTTCAGCTCAGGTCATGATCCCACAGATTACAGGTTCGGGCTCTGTATCAGGCTCTGTGCTGAGAATGTGTAGCCTGCTTGGGATTCTCTCACCCTCTCTCTCTGCCTCTTCCCCACTTGTATGTTCTCTCTCTTTCTCTCAAAATTAATAAACTTAAGAAAATAATATCCAAAATAGATAAAGAATCCATACAACTCCATAACAACAACAACAACAAATCCAGTTTAAAAATGGGCAGAGGAAATGAATAGACATTTTTCCAAAGAAGACATACAAATGGCCAACAGACACATGAAAAGGTGTTCACCCTCAAATTATCAGCAAAATGCAGATTGAAACCACAATGAGATATCACCTCACACCAGCCAGAATAGCTGCCATCAGAAAGACAAGAAATAGCAAGGGTTGATTAGGATGCGGAGAAAAAGAACCCTTGTGCATCTCTGGTGGGAATGTACAGTGGTGCAGCCACCATGGAAAATAGTATGAAAGTTTCTCAGAAATTAAAATAGAGGGGCACCTGGGTGGCTCAGTCAGTTCAGTGTCTGACTTCAGCTCAGGTCATGATCTCATAGTTTTTGAATTCGAGCCCTGCGTCAGGCTCTGTGCTGACACTTGGAGCCTGGAGCCTGCTTTGGATTCTGTGTCTCCCTTTCTCTCTGCTCCTCCCCCACTTGTGCTCTGTCTCTTAAAAAAAATAAATAAATGTAGAAAAAAGTTAAAAAAAAATAAAAATAGAACTACGTTATGATCAAGCAATGCTGTTTCTGGGTATATACCCAAAGGAAATGAAAATGGGATATTGAAGAGATAGCTGCACTCTCAAGTTCATTGCAGAATTGTTCATAATAGCCAGATGTGGAAACAACTAATGTATCCATCAACAGATGCATGAAGATCAATGGATCTATCCACCTATCTATCTATAAATCATCTATCTATATACCTATCTTATCTATCCACACACACACTCACACACATGCATACACACACACACATAATGTTATTTAGTCATGAGAAAGAAGGAAATCCTATGACAACATGGATGGACATTGAAGGCATTATAGTAAGTAAAATACACCTGACAGAGAAAGACAAATGCTGCATGATATCACTTATATGCGGAATATTAAAAAAAAAGTCAAACATCTAAATAGAGAATAGGAATGTGGTTGCCAGGGCTAGGGAATGTGGGAAATAGGGAGAGACTGGTAAAAGGGCACAAACTTTCAGCTATAAGATGAATAAGTTCTGAGGATCTAATGTAAAACAGGTGACTATAGTTGATAACACTGTACTGTATAACTGAAATTTGCCAAGAGAGTAAAACTTAAATGTTCTCACCAATAAAAGAAAAGATAATATGTGAGGTGATGGTTGTGTTAATTAACTAGATGGGGTGGATCATTTCACAATGTATACGTTTATCAAATAACCATGATGTACCCTTAAATATCTTAAGTTTTATGTCAATTATACCTCATTAAAGCTGAATTTTTAAATTTCTTAATCAATAAATTATTTTTAAGCTTGTTTGTTTATTTTGAAAGAGAGAGAGAGAGAGAGAGAGAGCGTGAGCATGGGAGGGGCAGAGAGAGAATCCTAAGCAGATTCCACACTTCAGCGCAGAGCCCAATACTGGGCTCAGACTCACAAACCATGAGATCGTGACCCGAGCCAAAACCAAGAGTCAGGTGCTTAACCAACTGGGCCACTGAGGCACCCCAAAGCTTATTTAAAAAAAAAAAAAAACAACTTACTACAAATCTACAGTAATCAGAACACTGTTGTATTGACATAAAGACAGATATATATAGACCAATGGAATAGAATATAGCACCCCAGAAATAAGCCCTCAAATACATGGTCAAATGATTTTCTTTCTACATATATATATATAAAATATATATATATAAAATATATATAAAATATAGTTTATTATCAAGTTGGTTTCCATATAACACCCAGTGCTCATCCCAACAAGTGCCCTCCTCCATGCCCATCACCCCCCTTCCCCTCTCCTCCACCCCCCATCAACCCTCAGTTTGTTCTCAGTATTTGAGTCTCTTATGGTTTGATTCCCTCCCTCTCCTTAACTATTTTTTCCCCTTCCCCTCCCCTATGGTCGTCTGTTAAGTTTCTCCTCTTCCACATATGAGTGAAAATATATGGTATCTCTTTCTCTGCCTAACTTATTTCACTTAGCATAACACCCTCAAGTTCAGTCCACATTGCTGCAAATGGTCAGATTTCATTCTTTCTCATTGCCATGTAGTATTCCATTGTATATAGAACCACATCTTCTTGATCCTAGTCAAATGATTTTCAACAAGGATGTCAAAACGTTTCAAAGGGGAAAGAGCATTGTTCCAACAAATGGTGCTGGGAAAATTGGATATCTGTGAGAAGTAAAGGAGATAGATGATTCACTTTTAGAAGTTCTAAATAAAAACTGTGCTGTCCAGTTAACAGTAGTCTACAACCTACTGGAAATGCGTACAAACCGCTCCCCGCAATGGAGTCCTAACCTAACCTAATCTTTAGACACTTCACTTCCTGGTTCTTCTGCTCTCCAGGTTGGAGGGCTTATTTTCACTGGCTTATTTTCCTGAGCTTGTTTTCCTCGGCTTTGCAATGAGCATGTGCCATAGAATAAGAGGAGGAGGGACGGGAAGTTTCTGCATTACCTCAGGGATGTACATTTGTTCCAGTCAGACTATTTTGCCTTACATGAACATAGGTGACGGGGAGGGGGAGTTGGGGGGAAGGCTGTAACCTCTTAGTACTCGGTCAACGAGGAACCAGGGGAAGGACTGAGCGCTAGGAGACAAATTGCCTGCTGTGACTGTTCCGAGTGTGCCTGGCCATCAGACAGCCAGTCTTGCAAGACCATTGATTAAAGCCTCACTTCACTGTGCTCCGAGTCTCTGCGTCACTCCTTTGATTAGGTCAGTGCGCTTATTTCTCACAAAACCCACATGCAAAGGAAAGAACTTGCACTTTTTACCTAACACCATATACAAAAATTAACTCAAAATGGATCAAAGACCTAAATGCAAGGGCTAATAACACTCTTAGCAGAAAACATAGGGAAAAGCTTTGACATTAGACTTGGCAATAATTTCTTGGATATGACACCACAACACAGGCAACAACAAAAACAAAAATAGATGAATTAGACTTCATCAAAATTAAAACCATTTGTGTATCAAAGGACACTATCAATAGAATGAAAAGGCATTCTATGGAATGCAAGAAAATTTTTGTAAATCACATATCTGAAAAGAAATTAATATTCAGAATATACAAAGCATCCCTAGAACTCAACAACAAAAACAGACAACCCAATGAAAAGTGGGCAAAGGACTTTGCGATGGTTAACGTTATAAGTCAACTCGATTGGGCTAAGGGATACCTGAACAGCTGGTAAAACATTATTTTCGGGTGTGTCTGTGAGGGTTTCTTTGGAAGTGATTAGCGTTTGAATCAGTAGACAAAGTAAAGAAGATCAGCCCTTACCGATGCAAGGCAACATCATCCAATTCTTCAGAGGGCCTGAATAGAACAAAAAGGTGGAGGTTTACAGCAAATACTCGGTGCCCAGGAAGAGACAAGCGACACACACTAGGGGAATTAGGAAAGACTGTTTATTTCGCACTGGTGCCAGGCCAGCAGAGTCCCCTCCGAAGGCTGACGCTGATCCTTGTCACTGGTGTCCTTTTAAGGGTAGGATTGCAGGGGCTCAGGGAAGAAAAGAAAGGGGAGGGGGCTCTTATGGATTGTGCTACGCAGGCAGTTGGTGGATGCAGGGGGCAAGCAAGATTACAGAAGCCAAAAGCACGCGACAGGAGTCTCAGGCCTCGGACGCCTGGCTGCCCCCTTGTGTATCTGCTCTCGCCAGATTTCTTTCTCAGGATGTCTGGCTGGCTCTCTTTGATCTGTTTTTGCCAGCTTTCCTTCTCAGAAGGAAGGAAGAATTTTCTCTAGGATACCTATCTTCTTCTGCCATCAGACATCAAGGCTCCTCATCCTCAGGCCTTCAGCCTTGGGACTAAGAGTTACACCATGAGCTCACCTGCTTCTCAAGCCTTTAAACCCCATTGTCCCTCTGACTTTCCTCACTCTCCAGCTTGCAGACGGCAGGCAGATCAGGAAACTTCTTGACCTCCATAACAGCATGAGCGAGTTCCCATAATAAACCTGTATATATATAGGATATAGATATATATATATACACACTACTGGTTGTTTCTCTGTGGAACCCTAAGACAGACTTTAGATTTCTCCAAAGAAGATATATAAAAGGCTAATAAACACATGAAAAGATGCTCAACATTACAAATCATTAGGGAAATACAAATCAAAATCACAACCAGTTACTACCACATACCTACTAGGATAACTATTAAAAAAAAAACTCAGAAAATAAATATTGGTGAGGATATGGAAAAATGAAACACTTTCACACTGCTGGTGGGAATAGAAAATGGTGCAGCCACTGTGGAAAACAACATGGGGCTCCTCAAAAAATTAAAAATAGAATTATCATATGTTCCAGCCATTTCATTTTGGGGTATATACCTAAAAGAATTGAAAGCAGAAACTCAAATAGATATCTATACACACAAATTTACAGCAGCGTTATCCATAATAGCCAAAAGGTAGAAACAACCCTGCTGTCCACTGATGGATGAATGGATAAACAAAACGTGCATATACATACGATAGAATATTATTCAGCATTAAAAAGGAAGGAAATTCTGACACTTGCTACAACATGCCTGAAACTTGAAGACTTTCTGCTATAGAGGAGAAAAATAATTTTCTCTTTACTCTTCTGAGTTCTTTGTTGAAATTCTTGTAATAAAAGGCAATTTAACAAGAGAAAAGCAAACAAGTTTATTAATATGTATTATATGTGGGAGATAATAAAAAAATAATAAATCTCCAAGATAGCTTTAGAATTCGATTAAATACCATCTTACTAGGAAAAGGGGAGGGAAAATACAGGCCTCTTCAGGAAGAGTAAATGATTTTTAGGAACGACGAATGGGCTCTTAGAAAAATAGGAGGGAAGTATGATAGTTTGTAACAGAGTTTGTCTGGGGATGCTGTCAACTTTCTAATTTCCTCACCTGTGATAAGAGTCAGTCCTCCCTGCTTGTTGAAACGCCAAAGGAAAGGATTGATGACAATTGTGTTCCTTTGGATGACCTGTCTTAGGAAAATAAGGGAACATCAGGGAAAGCCTCTACCTGAATTTGCTGTTTTTAAAGTGCCTAACCCCCAAAATAATCAATATACCAAAGCAGCATATTTTGGGGTAGCATATTTTGCTAAGTGAAAGAAGCCGTTCACGGAAAGATAGATGCTGTATGATTCCACTTACATGAGATTCTTAGGATAATCAAATTCATAGAGACAGAAAGTTGAATGATATTTTCCAGGGGCTGCAGGCAGAGGGAGAATGGGGAGTTACTGTTCTATGGTTATGGAGTTTCAATTTATGAAGATGGAAAAATTCTGGAGATGTGTGGTGGTGATAGGTGCACAACAATGTGCATGTACTTAGTGCCACTAAACTGTACAGTGGAAATAGTTTAAAAAGTAATATTTACTTTATATTATGTATATTTTGCCAAAATAAAAAAATACAATGTTGGGGTGCCTGGGTGGCTCAGTTGGTTAAGTGTCCAACTCTTGATTTCAGCTCAGATCATGATCTCAAGGTTCGTGAGTTCGAGCCCTGAACTGGGCTCTCTGCTGTCAGCACAGAGCTGGTTTCAGATCCTCTGTCTCCCCTCCTCCCTGCTCAGCCTCTCTCCCACTTTGCGCTCTCTTCTAAGCTGGAGTCTGATGCTTAACTCAGCGTGTGGCCACGCAGGAGCCACATGAGTATAATTCTTTCAAGCCCTCCTACATTGAATCAATTCAATGGTAAGACTCTAATGTACTTCTCTTTTCACGAGTCCAAAGAGTAAATAAGATTCACAAGACTTTAAAGACCAGTCATATACCTACCATTATTTGGGGAATTCAAGCAATTCTTAATCCCCCATGATGTCCATAAGTATACAGAGCTTGATCTAGAAACTTATGATTACCAAAGACCAAGTCCATGGGATCTGAGAGAAGCAGACCAGGTGGAGAAATCTTAGTTTCCAGCTCTGCCAGAAGCAAATCATCCATGTCAGCTCTCTGGAGACCATGGCCTGAAAACAAAATATATGCAAAAAAAAAAAAAAAAAAAAGAACCAAGAGGTAAATTAGAGAACCATGCATTTAATATACATAGAAGAAAAGCATCTCCTTTGGAGGATGGCGTTTGAGACATTGCTCCCTTCTTGCAAAGTCATCATGTTTTTTTTGAGGTTCCTTTCTTAATCACCCAACTGATTTCAAACCTCTTAGTTCATAACTCCCCCTGTGTTCCTGGCCACTCGGTCGTGCTCTGTCTGGTGACAAAGCCTTCACACCCTGTCCTGAACAGACATTTTTAGTCTCACTATGCTCCTCTTGCGGTGGATGCCCAGGTCTATGCAGGGCCGAGATTTGGCAGAAATGCCCCTGGGAAGCGGTTAGTTGTTTATCACCAACCTTCCCTGGGATTCCAAGGGCCTGTCTTCCCCACTTTTGTTTCAGCTGGAACTACCTCCATAGATTCTGAACTGAAGCCCCGCCCCCTGCCCCCCTCCCCCAGCCGCCTGCAGAGGCCCATACCTAACCCTGCTATCTGTTCTTCCTCCAACCCTAGGCTTTCTCAGCTTCTTACATTTTGGGGATCCTGTATTTGAATTTCAGGCCTCGAATTACCTTATTCTGCCAGGCCTTTTCCTGCAGTAGTGGTTTAAGCCTTGGGGCTCTGTATCCACTTGTAGCTCGCATTCTCCGCCAGGAAGACTGTTAAGCATTTAACCAGTTACTTAAGTGCCTTCACTTCTCGAACTTCTACATGGCTGACATTGCTCACTGTGCCTGAGTGCTTTCATCTTCACCATCCTTTTGCTTTCTGGCCCAGATATTGCTTTTCTAACGTAGTTATCTGCAATTCATCTTGTAGGGTTTGAGTGAAAGAGACATTCAATCAGTGAATTCTGGGTTTTCTGAAAACATTGATTTTCAAACAAACAACAGAAAAAAAAAATTCTAATGTCTTCCTGAATCAAACAATTCCATCCTGGGACTGGGCATTGAAAAAAAAAATTCCCGCTACCCTTCTGAGTTCTTAGCTAAGAACCCTGGTAATAAAAGACAGATTATGAGGTGCCTGGGGGCTCAGCCAGACACTACTCCTGATTTCAGCTCAGGTCATGACCTCATGATTCATGAGACCAAGCCTCCTGTGGGGCTCCATGCTGTCAGTGTGGAGCCTGCTTGGGATTTTCCCTCTCCCTCTCTTTCTCTCTGCCGCTCCCTGACACTCTCTCTCTCTCCCACTTTCTCAAAATAATTAAATAAACTTAACAAAAACAAATAAAAGATTAACAAGAAAGGCAAACAGAAGTCTATTAACATGTATACGTGGGAAATACCCAGGGGAAAAAAATGAGTAACTCCCACAGGTGGCTTTAGAATTCAAGATTAAATATTATCTTAATAGTGAAAGAGGAGGAAGGTAGACCTTCTGGAGAAGGTAAATGATTGTGGGGAAAGGTGAATGGGCCCTTAGAAGAACAGATGGGAGATATGATTGATCGTGACAAAATCTGTCATTTTCTCTTTCAGTTCTACCTAACCTATGCTCTAAGATAGTTCTCGAACGTTTAACAGCCATCAGACTCCCCTGGGAGACTTAACTCAGAGATTGCTGGGCCCTGCCCCTGGAACTTAACACAAACTAGGTTTGTGAAAGGAGCAGAGTATTTGCATTTCTATCAAGTTCTTAGTGACGCTCATGCTGCTGTTCTGGGGACCACACATTGATGCCAAGGCGATCTCAATCTTTTCTAAAGGGAACCTCTCTTCTTAATTTGCTTGCATTCTTCCACTTCTCTATCCTCAAGCAGATTTTTCTTTTTCTTTCCTTTTTTAAAGTTTATATATTTATTTTGAGAAAGAGAGAGAGAGAGATGATGTGAGTAGAGGAGGGGCAGAGAGAGGGAGAGAGAAAAGAATCCCAAGTAGGCTCCACATTGTCAGCTCAGAGCCCAACACGGGGCTTGAACTCACAAACCATGAGATCATGACCCAAGCTGAAATCCAGAGTCATATGCTTAACCAACTGAGTCACCTGGGTGCCCCTAAAGCAGATTTTTCAAACCTAAATTAGTTCTTCCTTGACTCTGACTCCTAGATAAAGGTCTTTTGATCCCCTTCTTAGCCTTTGGCTTTACAGTAATTCTATTTAGTTGTTTTTCTACTTCACCCTAAGGGGTTGGCATAGCTGCTTACTAATAAAGTAATTTTCTGTTTCTTGATCTGAGTGGTGGATACAGGCAGTATTCACTTTGTAATCATTCACTAAGGAGGTACTCTTAAGATCTGAGTCCTCTTTTACATGTATGTTACACTTTAATTTAAAAAAAAAATTAAAGACGCCTGGGTGGCTCAGTCAGTTAAAGATCTGACTCTTGATTTCGGCTCAGGTCCTAATCTCATGGTTCGTGAGTTCAAGCCCCATGTCAGGCTCCACACTGACAGCACAGAATCTGTTTGGGATTCTCTCTCTCCTGTGCTGCTCTCTCTCAAAAAATTAAAAAATAAAATGGCCACATTTCAGCTGTATCAGTCAAGGGCAAAAAAAAAACTCGGCTCTGTCCTTCCTACAATGGCAACAAAGCCTAATGCCAGCAGCCCTGGCTCTGCCAGGGATATAGTCTTTCCATGTGTTTTTTCTGTTCTTAGGGCCAGTCCTAGTATATTGCCCAAGGTTCCAAGTTGCTGGGTTTTTAGGAGACTACTGTTGACAATTCTTTCTTCCCACCCCAAAACAGAACCAACTGAAAAACAGACAGTAGACCACAGTGTCTGTTCTTTTTAGTGCTGAGCACTGGGGAAAACATGGATTCAAATATTTGGCTACAAGCAGTTCAGCCTGTAATTAGATAGACGGGGTGGAAAGAGCTAGGCTTCCTCGTTCAGTCACTAGTCCTAGAGGACTAGAAAGTGTTACACGGTGACAGGTCAAAATGCAGTGTTGCTGAAGTTCCTCAAAAAAGAGAAAAAGGATGATCTTGGCTGAGCATGTCCAGTTCTTTCTTCCAAATTCATTAATTATAGACATCTCTTCTTCCCATAGAGAGGTGTGAATAAGAGGACAGGGATGTTACTCTAATTTAATCACTTCTCACTGGCAATAGGAGACCAGAAGAGAAATGAAGTTTGCCCCAACATCTAGTATGGGCTTAACAGAGTTTATTTAACACTTCCCCCATTGATGGATGTTTACTCTCTAGGCTTTCATACAATGAACATGCGTCAGGGGATATCCTATATGTTTCACAATGCACACATGCAAGTTTCCTTAGGCAAAAGCTACCTGGAAGTGAATGTCTTGGTTGAATGTATAAACATCTAAAACTTTTCATAAATACTGAGAATTTGCTTTCCAAAAAGGCTACACATGACTTACACTTAAGCCAGAATGCATAAACACCTGTTTCCCCACATCTTCATCAATGTTGGTTATAACTGATCTTTTTAATCTTTGCCAATATGATAGGTAAAAAAGATACCTTTGTTTTGGTTTACTATATATGATTCTATCACTGGGGAGAGTGACCATCTTTTAAAACAATTGTTTTTAATGTTGATTTATTTTTGAGAGCGAGAGCGAGAGCGAGAGCGAGAGAGAGAGAGAGAGAATGAGCAGGGAGGGACAGAGAGTGAGGGAGACACAGAATCTGAAGCAGGCTCCAGGCTCTGAGCTGTCAGCACAGAGCCCAATGTGGGGCTCGAAATCACAAACTATAATATCATGACTTGAACCAAAGTTTGACACCCAGCTGACTGAGCCACCCAGGCACCCAGAGAATGAGCATCTTTTTATGTTTGTTAGACATCCTCTTCACAGAATTGTCTGTTCATTTCCTTTGCCCACACTTAGGCTATCTTTTCCTTATTAATTTGTAGGCATTCTTTGTACATTTTTGATGCTAATATTTTGCCTTTTGTAATTGTGACAATTACTCTTTCTAGCTTTCTTTGTAAGTTGGGTGTATAGCTTTGGTAGTACAGAAATTTTTTATCAGATTGTCATAATTTACTTTAAAAAAACTTG